CTATTAGATACTTAATTCATGATAATAACTATCTTCGCAAAAATTCTGTAGATGGCAAACAACCTCGCCCTGCGTTCCATTCTGGATAAAGATAAATTGAACGGAACAAACTTTGTTGACTGGCAACGCAATCTCTCCATTGTTCTCCGCATGGATGAGAAAGAGTATGTGCTCGAAAAGCCCATTCCTCCTGCCCCTCCCGCTAACGCCCCGAAAGCGGTCAAAGATGCCTACGAGAAACACGTTAAGGATGATAACCAGGTTAGCTGTGTCATGTTGGCAACCATGATAACCGAGCTGCAAAAACAGCACGAGGACATGAAGGCCCACGAGATGATCGTGGCCTTGCGGCAGCTATACCAGAGGCAATCCAGGCATGAACGTTTTCTCGTGAGTAAGGATCTCTTTAGTTGCAAGCTCTCTTCAGGGAACCCGGTCGGTCCGCACGTTCTCAAAATGATTGGTTACATAACCAATCTGGAGAAACTCGGGTTCTCATTGCAGAAGGAGCTGACAACGGACCTGATCTTGCAGTCGCTCCCTGAGTTGTATAAAGGTTTTGTCATGAGCTACATGATGCATGATCTTGACAAACCCCTTCCGGAGCATCTTAAAATGCTCCAGACTGCAGAGGAGAACCTTACTAAGGGCAAGGGTGCTTCCGTCCTTATGGTCCAAGGCGGAAAGGGGAAGCCGAAGAAGAGGATTAAGATTAAGGCTAGGACGGTCGGAAAGCCTAAATCGAAGTCCACTTCATCTACAACCCAGAAACCCATAGGAGGAGTTTCAAAGGGCAAATGTCATCACTGTGGTAAGGCAGGCCACTGGAGAAGAAACTGCAAGACATACCTCGCTACCAAGAAGAAGGAAGGTACGACCATTTCTTCTGAGGTGTATGTTATAGAAGTTAACATGTATATATCTTGATCATGGGTACTAGATACTGGATGTGGGTCTCATATCGGTACTACCATGCAGGGACTGAAGCAGAGTAGACGGTTAGCTCGAGGCGAGATTGAACTCCGAGTCGGCAATGGTGCACCTGTTGTAGCTTTGGCAATCGGAACTTATAGTTTAGTCTTGCCTAGTGGTCTAATGTTGGAATTAAACGATTGCTTGTATGTTCCTGCAATTAGCAGAAACATTATCTCTGTTTCATGTCTTGATAAGAGTGGTTTCATCATTTCTATTAAAGACAAGTCCCTTTCCGTTTACAGAAAGAATGTTTTCTATGCTAATGCCAACATGACCAATGGGTTACATGTCCTTGACTTGGACATGCCTGTCTATAACATATCTGCCAAGAGGAACAAACCGAACGGTTTGAACCAAACATACCTATGGCATTGTAGGTTAGGTCATATAAACGAGAAACGCATATCCAAGCTACATCGGTCGGGAATGCTGGAGTCATTTGATCTTGAATCATACGACACATGCGAATCTTGTTTATTGGGTAAGATGACCAAATCTCCTTTCACCGGACACGGTGAAAGAGCTGGTGATCTTCTGGCACTCATTCATAGTGATGTGTGCGGGCCTTTCAATACAACTGCACGAGGTGGTTATTCATACTTCATCACTTTTACTGATGACCTCAGTAGATATCGCTATGTGTATCTCATGAAAGGAGGAATCGAACCCTGCTTGACATGGTTCGTTCCATGATGGGTCATTCGAATCTACCAGAATCATTCTGGGGGTATGCGCTGAGCACTGCAATATATACTCTTAACCGAGTTCCAACCAAGGTGGTTGAAGGAACACCATACCAGCTATGGACGGGCAAATGCCCGGTTCTGTCACACTTAAAGATTTGGGGCTGTGAGGCTTATGTCAAGCGTCTTATGACGAATGGCAAGCTTGACGCCAAGTCTGATAAGTGTTTCTTTGTGGGATACCCAAAGGAAACTCGAGGGTATTTATTCTATCACCCTATCGATAAGAAGGTATTCATTGCTCGCAATGGTGTCTTCCTCGAGAAGGAATTTCTCTCCATCGCAACTAGTGGGAGAAAGATAGAGCTCGAAGAAATTCAAGACGACGAAGAAACTACCGCGCCGGTTCTGGAACATGAGCTAGAGGAACAAACCGTTGTACCTCAAAATGCTCAAGATACACAAGAACCCCGTAGGTCTAACCGGTTACGCACACAACCTGAAAGGTATGGATTCCTCCTAACCTTTGAGGGTGACGTAATGCTTATCGACCAGGATGAACCAGAGACCTACCTCGAGGTAATCAGTTGTCCCGAGGCTGAGGAATGGCGTCAAGCCATGCAGTCCGAAATGGATTCCATGTACACCAACCAAGTATGGACTTTGGTTGATGCACCCGAAGGGATCAAACCCATTGGGTGCAAATGGGTCTTCAAAAAGAAGACTGAAATGTATGGTAAGGTGCAAACCTTCAAGGCACGATTGGTAGCAAAAGGATATTGTCAAATACATGGTATCGACTATGACGAAACTTTTTCTCCAGTTGTCATGATTAAATCCATTCGGATCTTACTTGCTATCGCAGCATACCATGATTACGAAATCTGGCAGATGGACGTCAAAACGGCTTTCCTTAATGGAAACCTCCTTGAGGATGTCCTTATGACACAACCTGAAGGGTTTTGCGCTCCTGAAGAATCTACCAAGGTATGCAAGTTGCAGCGATCAACCTACGGATTGAAGCAAGGCTCACGGATTTGGAACATCCGCTTTCACAAAACTGTCATCGGCTTTGGTTTTGAAAGAAATTCGGATGAATCTTGTGTATACAAGAAGGTCAGTGGGAGTGTTGTAGTCTTCCTTGTGTTAGAATAAAGGCCCAACGCTAGAGGGGGGATGAATAGCGTTTAAAAACAAAATCGCAGGAAATTAAAATGAGAGCGTTAAAGTAAAGAGCGTAAGGAAGGAACACACCGGATTTTATCCTGGTTCACCACAACGTGTGACTAATCCATCCCCCCTGAGAGACTCTCTCGAGCTACACTAACTCACACGAGCCTCAACACCTTTGCTTGGAGATACCGCACTCCAAGACTTCTCACGAAGGAACAAGGAACTTCCTTCGAGTTTACAACAAGGGAACAACCTCCCTTAAAGTGTATGAAAACACTTAAACACTCTGGAATAAAACTCTCACAAAGAGTAGATATGAGTGAACTAGTAAACGCTCAAAAACATGACAATTTCTTCAAGAATTGGCTCTCAAATAGCTAAGAAAAATAGGAATGCTTATGCAATGAAAGAGTATTGAAATGTTGAAGAATTGTGTGTCAAATGAGAGGATTTGGGTTCCATTTTATAGCCCAAAATGGGATAAACCCGTTGCTAGAATTTCCAACAGAATGAAGACAAATTTTTCAGGGACACAGGCTGATAGTCGATTGTCAATGCATGATAATCGATTATCCAAAGATTCCCTGTCCAAAAATTTAAAATTCTATCCGTTGGAGGACAACGGTAACCCAGATAATCGATTGTCAACAAGTGATAATCGATTATTGGTCCTCTCAGAAGATTCTGGGTTTTGGCTGCAAAGACTGATAATCGATTATTGCAAATCTGATAATCGATTATTGCGTGCTTCAGAACTTTGGAAGTTCAAAGCTGCAGTGGCGGATAGTCGATTGTCACTAAGGTGATAATCGATTATCACCCAGCTAAAGTCTAGCCAGCTGAAACCCGTTTTGAAAAACCGAGGTCCAAAAACGAAGTGTTTCCAAAAGTAAAAACCAGGTTTGGAAAATATTGTATATGGTATTAAATAGTGAAAACAAGACTTGTTTGGTAAAAACCAAGTCTCCAAGGTCGTATAATGCGTACGTACGGTTTAGACCGTTTTTCACGTATTAGACCGATTGACCAAGATACAAAAGTGGTTTTTATAAAATAATTATTTGGAAACATTTTAAAAATGCTCAGAGGTAGAAATAGGGTTTAAAATATTGAAAACCACGGAGTTGGTTCGGGCGCCAAAAACCGAACGCCGAAAGCCGAACGTCGAAAGAGGTGGTTTTGGTTCTGAGCAAGGACCAGGGATTTTAACAATAAAAGAAATCATCAAAAATGTTTGTTTTGATGCTCAAAAAATATTTTATGGATTGTAAAAATTGTTTTGACTATTTGAGAACCGAGACTTGAATATATTGTCCTTGAGTCTTTTAGGTGTTGTTCCAAGCCATTCTTCACGCCTTGAGTTATTCAACGAAACTCTTTATATCCACGGCGGTTTGGAAGTTATCAAAACCTGTCAGAAATGAACATGACTTTAGTTTATCGTACAAAGTGTGTTCCAACAATTTCCCCCTTTTTGATAATGGCAAACAAGACGAGGATATGCATAGGGTTTTGATATTTTTGAAAAAAATTTCCCCCTTAAAAAATTCCCCCTTAATATATGCATAGCCCTTATCTTCCCCCTTTTGACATTAACAAAAAGATTGTTAACAACAAAGATCATAAAGATTTTTTATTAATTAATTAAGGGAAATAGCGGAGTACATAACGAAAGCATATTAAAATATGATAAACTAAGGAAGAGAAGAAAGTAGAGCTAGAGCTCTAGAAATCCGGGGAAAGATTATTGAGAAGTTGTTCTTCGTCAATGTCTTCTTCTTCTTCTTCATCTTCGTCTCCGTCGCCATCATCATCATCATCATCATCATCATCATCAGCTTCTTCTTCCTCTTCTTCTTCTTCTTCGTCCACCTCGTCATCTCTACCAACGCTTTGAGTCCCACTTTGTTCACCTCCGAAATTTGGTGGAGGAAAGTAAGGGACCATTTGAGCGTACGGGTAATTGACAAAGTCAAAATACCCGTGAAGTTCACGGCTCAAGGTATTGACGTTGTGTGCCGTTTTGGAGACGTTGGTGTCAATCCGAGAGAGAGTGGCGGTTAAGGCTGCCATTTGCTCGGCGAGAGAAGGATTGGTCGAAGTGGTGGCGGCTGAGGCAGTGGCTCTCGGTTGGCGGCGTGGACGAGGCTGTCGAAACGGAGTATCGTCGGTGCCCGAGTGGAAAGAGGATTCATCAATCTCCCAATGCTTTGTGCCCTTTATCTTTGGCCCAACATCGGTTTTGATGTTATATTCTTCAAGAATCGCCATGACAAGGAGGAAGTAGGGGAGCGGACGATTGTCGGAGGTGGCCGTGAACATGTGAGTCATCACAAATTTACACCAATTGAGATTGGCGTTGTGAATCATCGCATGAATTGTCTTCGTGTCCTCCTGAGAGAGAGTGGTGTGATTAAACTTCATGGGCTTGAGAATCCGTGTCAAAACATAAAAAATGAATCGAAACACGGGGCTCATGGAAGCAATCGTAGGGCGCCGCTGTTGGGGAGTGGGGACGAAGTGTCGGATGCCCACTTCCTCCAAGAGAGCGGTCTCATTGAACCGCGCTCCTTCTTCTCCGACGTAGAGCCCGAGATCCTGTCCGTCCCGTCAAATCCCTATGAGAATTTGAATGTTTTCCTCATTCAAAAAGATGTCCACCCCGTTGATGTTAGAGATCAACGCTCCGTCCTCATCCTTTTTCAAGTTCGAGTAGAAAGATCGAACAAGAAAGGGTTCATAATTGACCTTCTTGATGTAGAGGAGATCGAGGAAGTTTCCACGTTCGAGGATAACCCGTGCCTCACGTGGAATGGAGTCATGAATGAAGCGGGTTGTGGAGAATCGGGGAGGGAGAATTTCCCGATGCTCAAACTTTTCCGAGAACCGCGTCGCCTCTTCGCGGTCGTTGAACCAAAGGAACGACCCGTCGAGATACTTGTGCGCCGGTGGTGGAGGAGCCGAGGAAGAAGCCACGTTCTTGCCGGTGCGGGATCTTTTTCTTTGACCTCCTGCCATTTCAACAAAGAGAGAGAGAGAGAGCAAGACAAAAAAATAGAAATTTGCAGGGATTTTGCAAGAACACTGAAGAATAATTGCAAGAAGGATGAAATATTGATGAATATATGAAGGAATTGTGATTTGAGTGAGTAAAAAATGAAAGGATATCACCAATATATAGTGGAAGAGGCCTGAGATGCGTTTGCGAAGTCAAAAAGGTGCCTTGAATGCAGTTCTAACGTCTCTGTAACGGTCAGATTTTTGAAAAATCGCCGTTGATAATCGATTTACCCAACGTGTAAATCGATTATCTGAGTCTTCAGATTCTCCGCCGAAGGATCTGCAGACTTCAATAGTCGATTGCCTTGTTTTAGTCAATCGATTGTTTTGCGCCTGACTTCAAATAAAGTTCTGCAGCTCCATATAATCGATTATCATGACTTGGAAAATCGACTGTTGAGGTTTTGCCATGGATTTGCTCCAAACTTCTGCGGACAGTGATAATCGATTATCTCAAGGTTGTAAATCGATTTACACTCAGTCCTGGGAACTAGAAATCGATTTCTTTTGTTCCCCCTGACTTTGACACATGAAAATAAAATTAAAAAAAAGCCCTGCAAAAAAGAATTAAAAACGTCTCCGACGTCCAAGTTAGTAGGGACCAAAAATAATAATTAATGCACAATTTAGATCATCGTGGAGTCAAGGATTCCGAGTTCACTACGAATGCTGAAGAACGACTCTTTCTCTAAAGGTTTTGTGAAAATGTCGGCTAATTGGTTGTGTGTTTCAACGAACTCAATTTCGACATCACCTTTGAGAACATGATCTCTAATGAAATGATGCCTAATGTCAATATGTTTCGTCCTTGAGTGAAGAACCGGATTCTTCGTCAAGCTTATGGCACTAGTATTATCACATCGAAGAGGGACGTGATCGATACTAAGGCCATAATCCACAAGTTGTTGCTTCATCCAAAGGATTTGAGCACAACAACTACCGGCGGCAACATATTCCGCTTCG